CTGGGACCACAGGCGCCCGCCACAACGCCCGGCCATTTTTTTGGTTGCAGCCATCATTGTTGTTTGGCGGGCCCGAGCTGGGGATTCGAACCCACCACCTTAGGTGTATGTGGCTGGCGCCTTAGCCACTTGAGCCACAGGCGCCGAGCCTAAATATTCACTTTCACATGAGTTTTGTATTCTTTTTCCTGAAGGGAGTCCTTGAAATTGAATCTGTTTGTTCTTATCTTTTTATTTGCAGTTTTTGGCTGGGACTGAGTTTGAACCTGCCACCTCCGGCATATGGGGCCAGCGCCCTACTCCTTTGAGGCACAGGTGGTGCCCCTGTTCACTCTTATCTTTATAATCCACTCCTCACAGTAGCTGGAACACCTCACCAAGGCAGCACCTGACCATCTTCTGAGCTGTGCACAGCCCTCTGTGGCTCCCCACTGCTCCCAGGGACCATGCCAAACCCTTCGCCCTGGCCCCCTGTGATCTAGCCCTAGCCCCCCTCTACAACAGTGCCTCTAATCACTGTGCCCCTTACCCCCTGCTCCAGCCACACTGACCCTTCCTCACACCTCAGACCACTCTGGAGCCTTCAACACCACATCCTTGGCCTGAGAAGTCCCATCTTCTCACCTGGGTTATTCCAAATGCTTCCAAACTAGTTTACCTATTTCTGAACTATCTATTCTAACATTTTAGACCTTCAAGACAAGGTCTTCTATCACCAAGGCTAAAGTGTAGTGGTGGCATTATAGCTCACAGCAACCTCAAACTTCTGGGCTCAAAGAATCCTCCTGTCTTAGCCTCCTGAGTAGCTCTGGTAGAGACAGGATTTTGCTATGTTGCCCTGGCCTCAAGTGATCCTCCAAACCTTGGCCTCTCAAAGTGCTGGGATTATAGGCCTGAGCCACCACACCCAGCCTAAACTCTCTATTCTAAAAGCAGCAAAGGAGGGACTCCTTTAAATGTGTAAGTCAGATTATATCACTTTTCCCTGAAGATTCCTGCTCTGGGCTGTGGCCTGAGTGACCCAGGCCCTGCCCACCTTTGGGGCTGCCTTCCTGTCACTCCATCCTCTCTCTGATGCTCCTGGAAGACTCCCACTTGTTCCCCCTGCAAAGCCTTTGCTCGCACTGTTCTCTCAGCCTGAGACCTTGCTCCCTCCCTCCATTCAGGTCTCTGCTCAAATGTCCCCTCATCAAAGGAGCCCTCTGTGGAAGCAGCTTCTAAGATGTCCCCTGGGAGCCCACCTCCCTTGAATTCGTGCCCTCCCCTTGAGTGGGTGGCACCTAGTGACTTGCTTTGTACCAATAGATTCTGGCAAAAATAATGGATGCCACTTTCAATACTGGCTTACAAAAGACAGAAGCTGCTGGCTAGTTTGTCTCGCTGACCTGCTCAGAGAGAAGCCAGTGCTGCATTGTGACCTGCCCTGTGGAGAGGCCCATGTAGCAAGGAACTGAGGAATGTCCCCAGCCTCCAGCTGACACCACAGCCTCAGTGACACTTTTTTTTTTATTGTTGAGGAATCATTGAGGGAATAAAGAACCAGGTTATACTGCTTGCATTTATTAGGAAAAGTCCCTCTTATAATTGTGTCCTGCCCCCAAGAGGTGTGTCACACACCATGACCCCCTAACCAACCACCTCCCTCCCTCCTTCTCTCTACTCCTTCATTCCCCCACCCCCCACCATGTACTAGAATCAATTGTCTAGAATTATACTAGAGTATATTGGATTCTTTTTTTTTTTTTGTAGAGACAGAGTCTTTTTTTTTTTTTTTTTGAGACACAGCCTCAAGCTATTCCCCTGGGCAGAGTGCTGTGACATCACAGCTCACAGCAACCTCCAACTCCTGGGCTCAAGCAAGTCTCCTGCCTCTGCCTCCCAGGTAGCTGGGACCACAGGCGCCTGCCATTTTTTGGTTGCAGCCATCATTGTTGTTTGGCAGGCCCGGGCTGGATTCGAACCTGCCACCTTAGGTGTATGTGACTGGCACTTTAGCCGCTTGAGCCACAGGCACCAACCCGAGACAGAGTCTTACTTTGTTGCCCTTGGTAGAGTGCTGTGACATCACAGCTCACAGCAACGTCCAGCTCTTGGGCTTAGGCGATTCTCTTGCCTCAGCCTCCCCAGGAGCTGAGACTACAGGTGCCCGGCTATTTTTTTGTTTCACTTTGGCCGGGGCCGAGTTTGAACCCGCCACCCTCGGTATATGGGGGCTGGCGCCCTACTTACTGAGACATAGGCGCCACCTGAGTACATTGGATTCTTGCTTCTCCATTCTTTTTTTTTTTTTTTTTTTT